CAATTAGATTACCTTGAAACTTTTGTTTTCTTTTTTTAATGTGTAAATACTTTTGAAGAAACATTTAATTTTTTGTTCTTTGAGAATTTCATTTTATTTTTATTATTAAATTTTTTTCTTTTCATTTTACATGCATACACAGATTCCCCCATCCTCCCTCCTCCTGCCCCTGAGCCTTCCCCCCAACTTACCCCCCATTCCCACCTCCTCCAAGGCAAGGTCTCCCACGGGGAGTCAGCAGAGCCTGGTACATTCATTGGGACAGGTCCAAGCCCCTCCCCCTTGCACTAAGTCTGCACAAGGTGTCCCACCATAGGCACTGAGTTCCAAAAAGCCTGCTTATACACCAGGCATGGATCCCGATCCCACTGCCTTGGGGCCCCCTGGCCAGTTCAAGTTAAGCAACTGTCTCGCCTATCCAGAGGGCTTAGTCCAGTCCCATGGGGGCTCTTCAGCTATTGGTCCACAGTTCATGTGTTTCCACTAGTTTGGCTAGTTGTCTCTGTACTTTTTCCCATCATGATCTCAATGTCCCTTGCTCATAGAATCCCTCCTCTCTCTCATCGATTGGACTCCGGGAGCTTGGCCTGGCACTCAGACGTGGATCTCTGCATCTGCTTCCGTCAGTTACTGGATGAAGGCTCTATGATGACAGTTAGGGTATTCACTGTTCTGATTAGCAGAGTAGGACAGTTCAGGCACCCTCTCGACTATTGCTAATAGTCTAAGGTGGGGTCATCCTTGTGGATTCCTGAGAACTTCCCTAGCATCCTGTTTCTCCCTATACCCATGATGTCTTCATTTATCATGGTGTCTCTTTCCTTGCTCTCCCACTCTGTCCTTTTTCCAGCTCAAACCTCCCCATTCCCTTATGTTCTCATCCTCCATTCCTTGCCCTCCATTACCCCACCTCATCCCCAGTTTGCTCATGAAGATCTCATCTATTTCTCCTTTGCTGGGCTATCTATGTGTCTCTCTTGGGAACTACATTGTTAGCTAGCTTCTCTGGAGCTGTGGGTTGTAGTCTTGTTATCCTTTGCTTTACATCTACTATCCACTTATGAGTGAATACCTACCATGTTTATCCTTCTGAGTCTGGGTTATTTCACTCAGGGTATTTTTTATATATACACATTCTCATAAGCAATTGAATGATACATTTCCACACATGCCTACACTGTACTTGATCATATTCCCCTGTACTACATCAGTCCCCCACCATGTCTTTGTGACTGATATTGGGACTTTTACACAAGCCTAGCCCTCTCCTTCCTCATGACCAGGAGAGACAGAGTAGATCCTGTTTCTGTTTGTGGACCTGCTTTGTCTCCTGTAGAACTCTATCTAGTTTAGCTACTTTCCTTATAACACAACAGTTCTCTAGTCACTGTGCTGAGTGTGGATTCTTCCCACAGTCTCCTTATGTGCTATGCTGTTGTTCCATTTGTTACAAATGTTACTTCTGCCATTGGGACTGTGAACAAAGGGCTCTTTAGTGTGTTGGATGATGGAGGTGAAGTGTCAGGGACTCTCACGAATGATCTTCACATCTATGCTCATCAAGGAAAGGAGCTCACACTTGCTCCGTTCTTTGAGCTTACTTGGTGGTGGGATCAGGCTAACATTGGCACAGGGATGAGTTTGGATATGGGCCTTTGCTTTTTCTCTCTTGAAGAATTTTTCTATAACCCTGGCCTTCATTCTTCTGCTAAGCTTTAAATGATTCAGGGAATCTATGAGATCTGGGCTCTGCTTGTTTGGAGCTGTTTTTGTTGCCAGTCCAAAATGGTTGCTTATGACTTATGTGTTTAAGTGTTTTTATTTTATCTTAACTCAATATTCACACATGTCTAGGAATTCCTTTCATATTTTATAATTTTCTGGAGTATAAAAATTATAACATCCTAAAGGCCCTCTGGACTGTAGATGTATCAGTTACAACATCAACTTTTCTATAGTGTAATTTGTATCTGATCTCTCTTGATCAGCTTTTGAGGGTTTTGCCTTGTGGCACATCCTTGAACAGAAGCAGCTCATTCTTTCAGGGATCTCAGGATTTTCCTTTGCATGCCACCTTTACTTATACCAACTCTGATCTTTCCTATGATTCCTCATTCACTGCCTTGGGTTTAGGTTCTTCTAGTATTTTTATATCCTTGAAGAGCATCATAAGATTGTTTGGGATATTTCAGATTTCATGACAGAGAATTCCAAGCTATAGCCTTCCCTCCTAAAACTGCATTAATCTTTTTCTTTTAGCATTGTGTGGGTCTGAAATTTCCCACAAGATAAAGTGGTTGAAATTGAGCACAACACCATGGGCAGCCACATGGAAGAGGACATTCTTGAAAAGGATTTCAGGATGTTAACATCTCTAGGGTGTGGTTCATTCGGGGAGGTGAAGCTGGCCTGCCACCTTCCCACACATACACGAGTGGCTGTCAAGGTCCTTGAGAAAAACACCAACAGTGTGGCTGACATCAGTACTGAAGTGAACATCCTTCAGTCACTGGAACACAGGAACATCGTTCGATTTTTTGACATGATCGACACACTGTCAACCACTTACGTGATTATGGAGTATGTGGCAGGAGAAGATCTGGAGAGCTGCCTCAGGGCACGGGGCTGTCTAAAGGAGGAGGAGGCTAGAGGGATTTTCCGGCAGGTGGTGTCAGCGGTTCACTTCCTCCACCAGAGACACATCGCACACCGTGATATTAAATTGGAAAACATCCTAGTCGATGCAGCAGGAAATGCAAAGCTTTGTGACTTTGGGATGGCGATTGAAATCACAGAGGGGCAGATGTTGCAGGAGATCTGTGGCTCCTTGCTCTATTGGGCCCCAGAGATCTTGGCAAGAAAGCCCTATGATGGACTGGCAGGTGATATGTGGAGCTTGGGTATCGTTCTATATGTCTTGATCACAGGGCACTTTCCATACATGGAAGAAACCCTTGATGGTATGCACAGACTCATCACCACCACAATGTGTCCCATTCCCTACCATCTGTCCAAACCCTGTCACATCATCATTGCCCGACTACTCATGGTCCCCACCTGGTTCCGATTCACAATCTCTCAGCTTGTGGAACGACCATGGCTGGGCCCCATTCAACAACATGTACTGCCTGCCACCAAAGAAATCCTGCCCAGGGTCGTGGAGACTATGTGCACCATCGGCTATACCTGTGAGGAGATTGTGTCATCCCTAACTCACAGGCGAGAAGATAATCGTGTAATGGCTACGTGCAACATTCTCAAATATCAGCTGAGTTGTGGGGACAGCCATCTTCAAGATCAGGTGCCCTGGCTAACTAGCAGCCCAGCAGATCCTGTTCGCCTCCCTCTCCCCTTGAAGAGAGCCAGTGATCCAGCATTTACAACCAGTACACATGCTGGGAAGGATCACTTTAAGGAGGAGGGTGTGGAAGAAAGAGGCAAAAGATGCAGAAGCTACACCATGCCTCATAGACTCTCCTTCCTGGAGGCGATGCCCGGTTCAGACAACACAGTCCCAGAAAGAGATGCTCTTGTGGCTGACGTCATCAACACTCCTGCAGAGGACATTGCAGTCAACAGGAATTCTGTTGACCCCCTACCTGGCAATCTCTCCTCCCCTGAATCAGTCTTGGATGCAACACCCACAGTATTTCTCAACCTGGGCTTCTGTGAAGAAGATTCATCCCAGGAGCCAGACATTCCCAGTGACCAGCCCCAGGTGGCACCCACAACATCTGGATCCAGGCCATTCAGGGTCTGGGAACTGGTGAGGAAGCAAATTCTCTATGCACTGAGAGCACTGTGGTGCTGCCTGCCCACCCGAAGGTGAGCCCTGAACCCTTGCATCAGGGGCTGCAAGGAAAGAGAGGACAGTGGAGACCTACATGGAGAACAGTTGGTTGGGCCACACAGATGAATTCCTATGTTGTCTTTTCAATATGCTATTTCAATATCCTTTTGAAATGAAAAGTTATACCCACTCAGAGGGCACAGAATTTGCTATGTAGTACATTAGATGGCAAATTCACAGCTTCCTGTTCATGTAAAGTCCTGGAAGGTTGAGGTAAAAGCAGATAGCCTAGCATGGGGACCACAGGGTGGAAGGAAGGGAGGAGAGTTTGTCTAAAGGGGTTAAAGGTTCAGAATGGAGGAATCAGGAGGAGAAATATGGCACAGAACTTTCATCTGCCAAAGTCACTAATAGAGGTGCTTTCATGTTTCTTTCTTCTTTGAAGTGTGGAAACTGAAATGGCCCAATAGAATTCCAGACCTGGTGAGGAGTGACTGCCACAGAAGTGAGCCAGAACTCATCTCCAGTGTGCCAGCTCCCTCCAACCCAGGGCAACAGGCTCCTGCCTCCATTCATCCTCCAGCTATTGGGTCTGAGCTGCCACTTTGCATCTCTTTCAGCTTAATCCAGCCTCAGAACTGTTGTGGAACAACTGGGGGTCATAAGTCACTTGGACCCCATGACCCTCTCTACCTTCCTAGCTTTGGTTGTGCTTGTAGGACCACTCACACTGCATGGAAAACAGCAGCCTCTACCACCAGGAAGGATTTTTATACCAATCTAGGCTGCTCATCATCTTGGTCACTTTAACCCTCCAACTTACTCTGTGACTGCCTTATGGACAAAACAGCAAGACCTGTGTAAGTCCTCTGGAGAATGGAGGCGGGTGAAAGGAGATAAGGAGGACTAATTGGGGAACAGTTTTGAGACAGGAATAGGGGACATGAGAGGTGGTGTAGAATAAGGAGTAGAGTCTGTCCTGAGGAACTTCCTGTCAACAAAGTAGCATGAAAGAGATGTGTGTGCTGAGCTGCCACAGGGGCCCTGCACAGTCTACAGCAGGAACGAACCTGCCCTGAAGTGCAGAGTGGGAGGGAGCTAGGGACAGCCAGCAATGAGGAGGAGAGGGCCTGCTCCGATGGTTCCTATCATGTGTCAAGGCACACAGGTAGGATGCTGTCTTGTAAATAACATCCTGTTCTTCCTACAGATCTGGGGTGTAGCAGGAGAAAAGTGCAGCACTATTGGTCTGTGTAGTCACGTCCTCCTCAGTGCTGAGTAAGTCCTGTCTGTTAAAGTCACTAAGAGAGGCACTTTCTTTATTCTTTCGGGTTTTATTTGGGAAAGTGAAATGGTCTACTTGAACTACAGTCTTGGTGTGGTGTGGTGCAGCAGGAAGGATCCAGGCTGGAACTCTGTGTCCTGTGTGATGACACGTTAGGGCTACAGGTTCCAGTATCCATCCTCCAGGTGTAGGGTCTCAGCTGCCATCTTCCCCATCCTTCACCTCACTGCTGCCCCTGCACTGTTGTTGAACATCACTAAGTAGTCACGTGTAGCATCGACCTAATGAATGTCTACATCCCTCATGGTTCCTGTAGAACCAGGGTTCCCCGGCATCTACAAGGGCTGCCTCTGTCAACAGGACAGACTTGCACACAGGTCTCAGGCTTCCCTCTTCTTTGATCACTTCATCACCTCCAACCTGCTTTCTGACAGTCTTTTAGAAGAACTGCAGGAACTGTAAATCCAGTGGGAGACAGAGGGATGGAGATAAGGGGTGAAACAGGGGAAAGGAGGTGGAGAGGATGAAGAGGAAATGAGAGGACCTGGAGAGAGGGTAGAGTCTGTCCAGAAGAGCTTACCTGCAATGAGTGGAGAAAAGGAGGTTTTGCTGGGTTAAGGGTCTGAAAAAGTGAGACCAGGAACAAATGTCTCAAACAGAGCAGAGTGTGACCTTGGGTGTATTGCCAGCCATGAGGAGGAATGGAACCTGTTCTGATGGTTCCTGGCATACGTCAATGTAGTGAAGTATGAGGCTGCTTTGGAAAGGGACTTCCATTCTGGGCTACTGAAGAAGGGTCTGGCAGAAGAGAAGGGTGGCTCCATCCTGCAGTGGAGTCCTCTCCTGCTCCTGTCTGACATGTCCTTTGGCAGATCTGATGACATCTATGTCTTTGTCTCCATAGCCTCCTTCATCCAGGATTCACTTGCTGTCTCCCACCTCCTGATCCAAGAATCTTACATCATTTTTTCCATCTCATGGAGGGATTTATAACTGACATTTGACCTTACATTAACATTGTTCTGCTCCAATGTGGGAAGGTAAGTAGGCCTTGCCAGGCCTGATCCTGGGTATTGTCTTTACAAGGCCAGAACACTGGACTTCTCTATGACCAACGCCCACCATTGGGGTCAGACTTACAAGGAAACCTTGATCATCATGGATCTCTTGATGACAGCCTGTATCTAGAGTTTTCCTACCTGGCCCACAGCCAGGACAAATCTCTCTCACCTGCCAGTCCCACAGCCACTCAGACCCAACCAAGTAAACACAGAGACTTATATTGCTTACAAACTGTGTGGCCGTGGCAGGCTTCTTGCTAACTGTTCTTATAGCTTAAATTAATCCATTTCTATTAATCTATACCTTGCCACATGGCTCGTGGCTTACCGGCATCTTCACATGCTGTTTGTCATCATGGCGGCTGGCAGTGTCTCTCTGACTCAGCCTTCCACTTCCCAGCTTTATTCTCCTCCTTGTCCCACCTATACTTCCTGCCTAGCCAATGGCCAATCAGTGTTTTATTTATTGACCAATCAGCAACACATTTGCCATACAGACCATCCCACAGCAACAGCCCCTGGTGCAGTGTGAAGCACTGGTTGAGTTGTAGTGTCTCACTTGTTTACAGGACACCTTCCAGGTAGGGAGCATCTCACTGATTTACAAGGGAAAATGAACTCAACAGGGAATCCAGGGTACTAATCTGTGTGAATCATGGGCCTGCAGGTAAGTTTGAGTACAGTAAGTATCTGTGTGTGGTAGAAGACAAGTCTCTGAAGCCTGGTCTTGATGTGCTGAAAAGGATCCCATGAGGTGGCATGTGCCAGCATCCCTGACACAGAGGGAAAGCTATCATTGACTTGCTCAACTGAAGAGCAATGGGAGACTGAGAGACTGCAGAGGTGTGACAAGGGAGGAACCGTCTTCTCTGTTGTAGTTGGCCTCCAGATCCGTTCTGACCATCTGATCCTGGCCTGTGAACAAATACCGATGCATGTTAAAGTCTTTGGCCAGATCTTCCCAGTGGATGACAGTCAGCTTGTGCTGTCACTGACTTCTAGAACCCTGACCATCTGGTGAGTCCCAAGTGCAGAGAACAAGATCAGTCAGTTTGTTCAGGAAGAGAGAGGAATTTTCAGTTTGTGGGTATCACCCGGTGTCAGACTGTGTATCTGCTGCATATCAATGAAGGCAGATTCTGTTGAATTCTAGAAATGAGATAGGAAAATTTCCTGAATCCTCATCTTATTTTTATTTTTTTTTTTTTGAGACTGGATCTCACTGTATGGCCCTTACTATCTCAACACTCTCTGTGTAGAACATGCAGCTCTCAACCTCACAGAGAGTGACCCCTTTCTCTGCCTCCTGGGTGCTGTGATTACAGATGTGGACTGCCATGCCTGGCTTCAAGTACTGTATGTATAGCACCAATGGTAAATTCATCAGACATTTGAGGGAAAGGAGACAAGTTCTGTGCTTCTTTCATCCTGACAGGGTCAGGGATTGAACTGAAGGTTCTGTCATCCAGGATGGACTACAAACAGCAGCAAAGTCCGAATCGACCCTTCAGAATAGAAGTCTATGTCCACCAGTGAACAGATACCTGGAGGTGAGAACTGCTGTCATGAATTCTTCTGGGGACCCTGGTCAGTGGGCTGGAGGAGGTATGCACTAGCTGACACATCCTTGGGAACAAGGCACAGAGCATGCAAAGGCTGCTCTCTAACCCTTTCCCAGGATCCCCACCAGGCACACATCCCATGACTTCAACCTGACCAATCAGGAGAGTCCAGATTGGCTACCTGGTCTGATTGATTGAGTTCTTTCCATTTGAGCCTTGAGATCACAGCTGAGGACTCAAGGTGGGTCACTGAGACAGCTGGTGCCTGTCTTGGGATGTTGAAAGCAGGGCTCTCACTAAAGGACACCAGTGGCAGAGGCATTGCATGAAGCCACAGAATCTAGATAGCAGCTTCCAGTTCTACTCATCCGACATCCAGGTACTGTATGCTTGTCTGCTGACTTCTATGTCTACTCTTGCTCATGGGTCCCACAGTGTTTTTGTTACTTGTCAAAACCACTTTGGGTTGGATTTAGGCCACTGAACTTTGTTCATACTCACTGGCTAATGGAGAACCCAGGGCTGCAGGTTTCTGGATTCTGAACCAACTAGGACTCTGTGCACCCCACTCTAGACAGTGTGTGATGGTAGAGGGGATCAGCCCCTCCCAAGAACACTGTCAACAGTCCCAGGAAGACCATTGTCCTATTCCATGTCCTGAGTGTTCTGTTGTTCATGTTCTGACCCCTATGACCTGCACATTTTGCGTATGAGAGAAAACAGTGATCCTTGTCTTTTGGGACAAGCTTGTCACACATAACACAGTCATCCTCAGTTGTATCTGTTTTCTGAAAAATGTCCAAATTTCATTCACTCATGAGGGTGAGAATGTGCTTTTTACCCTGTATGCTCTTCATGTATTTATTTCATCTATTTATTTACTTATCTCTCTACTGAGTTATTTATTCATTTATATATTCATTCTATGTGTCTTTTACATCAGGTATCCTGATTACATTCATGTCCCCATCACTTCACATCTGCCCTCCAACTTACACCTGCCCAAACAAAACAAAATTTAAGAGAATAAAAAGGGAAAGTAAGATACATTTTAAAAAGGGGAGACTTAAAGGTTTCCTTGTGGAAGCTGCAGTGACCGAGTGTGACAGAGTGAGTCACACTGTAGACCTCTCTGTCCACATATTTTCACTTGTCAGTGTTCATTGCAGAGTCACTGGTCAGTTCCAGGCCTCGGGTTTCTACTACACTAATTTTGTGTTTGGTACTGTCATCTGTCCTCTGTAATTGGCACATTATCTTGCTTCACTGTAAGGGCATGCAAATTTAAAACTCTGACTTCAAAATCATCAGTGCCACAGTACAAACCCACTTCTAAATAAAGTGACAAAGTTGATCTGGAGATGGAGAGCAGAAGATGAGAACCAGAGATTGCAGAGGCAGCAGGAAAGAATTGGCTAAGGGAGGGATTTGGGGAGAAAGGAAGAGAGAGGAGAGGAGCCATGGGGAGAGGGATGCATAGTAGGTCTAGCTTAAGTGCTGCATATTTCAAGTTCCCCTAGAGTCCCTTTCACATGTCCTTCCTCTTTAAAGGGATGAGCTCTCTACATCAGGAGACACACGATGGCAATTTGAGGTGTGGCCTGAGACAGCAGAAGTCGGAGCTCTGCAGGAAGTCCAGATGGCAGTGTGCCCACTTCCCCAGCATGAAGGGTCTCTGTCCAGCACAGGAGGAGGTAAACCAACTACCACAGGTTTCCCTCCAGGAAACCTTAGTTATCAAGGATTTAGGATTGGTGTTTCACAGCATCCTTGTCTGAGGGGGCCATGAGCCAATACCAGGTACAAGCTACCCATGACTGTGCAGACCCTGTGGACCAGTCTGCAGGGGAATAACCTGCAGTACTCATTAATCTGTGCACCCTTCAGGTCTGTGGTCCTAGTGAAATGTTTCCCCACATGAGGGAAAGGGAGCTCCTTCCTCTCCTTCCTCTCCTTTCCCTCCTTCCTCTCCTTCCTCTCCTCCCTCTCCTCCCTCTCCTTCCTCTCCCTCTTCCCTGCTGTTGTATTTGCAGCCTTCATTTATCCCTGTGTCCTGCCCATCAGAAAAGACACAGTCCCACTGCATGCTGGCCTAGTTTACATGCTTGTGAAGGGGCCTCACTGTAGGGAGTTTCATCAGAACCATATTTGTCTCCTAACAGGAAAGTGACAGCAAGCTGGAGGAAAATGGGTACCACTTCAGATGGAATGCTGGGACATTGCTCCACTTTGGAAGTGAGTAGGCCTTACCTAGTAGGGCACAGTGGTCAGAGGTGGGGTCAGCACTCTTAAAACTACTTTGTACCCAGGTCCCACTGGGTACAGTGGTCAGGCCTAGACAGTCTTGTTGACCATAGAGCTAGGGCTTTCAGCTAGGCTGACTGCTTGCTTGTCCTGCTGGGATAATTGTCTAAAGTGTTGTCAGGTGCGCCTGACAGGCAGACAGCCTCTCCATGCAGTGAAGGATGGCCACTCTGAATGGGATGATTGTCAAGGCTCATCTCTGGGCAACACATGGCCGAAAGCATCATTGAGACCACTATATAATAGCCTGTAGCAGATGCTTAGTTTTTGGTTTCTTGTCTAAATTTGACTCTGGATTAGAGGTTAGGAAGAATAAGTCTGACCAGGCAGGTCCCCCTTAATTCCAAGAGTAGGTGGTCACTTAGCTTGTATTACAGAGGACAAGAGATAGATAGATAGATAGATAGATAGATAGATAGATAGATAGATAGATAGATAGATATAAATAGCTGAGGCATGGCTACAGAGGGATATTGAGATGACTTGGTGTAGGTGGCACATCTCTTCCCTCTGATCCTAACACCATTGAGATGAAACAGTTTGAATCAAAGATGGTGAACATCTTCTCACACCTGTATGTTGTGACATCCATTCTGTCACTGGCCAGTGACTTAGTCTGTGTTGGGTTCCAGAGACTGGGGAATGGGGACTGACACAACCTAACAAGGGAAACCAGCCAAGAGACAATGGCCTGCTTGCTCCTCGGCCCATAGCTTGTTTGTTGATCAGTGAGTGACCATTAAGGAATGTCTCACCCTGATGCACTTAACTAAAACCATGGCCTGTGGAAGGGAGTCTTGGGTAATGTGGCCAGCCATGGAATCTCTCGGGAGACAGCACATGTGGACCAGGACTCCAAGCCCTGGTAATGATGGTCTCTAAGAATGTGACCCTTAGGAACCAGAGTTGATGCCTAAGAGGCCAGGTGAGTTTAATGTGAACTTCTTATATCACTGGCCACTGCAGGGAGCATGTGATGGCCTTTAGATTGTTACGTGAGAGATATCAGATTATGATCAGGCTTACACACTCAACACACTCCTTCCACCACTGCCTGCCTCCTGGAGGCAGCAGGAACAGGTGCAGACAATACATGCTATTGGTACCAAGATCTTTACACACACTACCCCAAAGTGGCTCAGTAATACTCATTTCCCAGTGGAATAAAGGGAGTCCAAGTGATGCTGGGTAGCTTGCTATTTTGGACAGAACCTGACTGGTTGGGACTGTTTAAATTCCTCCCAGATCATTGACATAGACTAGTGTGGTAACAGCCTGGGTCTCTTGTAGTCTCAGAGTTCAACTCCAGAACTCTCATTGACCATCCTTTTCTCCTCAGATCTGCAGGTTCTGTTGGATATGTTCTGAGACAAAGCTCATCTTCACCATATGTGCATCCTGTCTCATCTAGGCAAGTGTTCAGTGAACTGGGTGCAGGAAACACAGTGCCTAGAAATAGACATGTTGGTGAAACTGCTTTTCCTTCTTGATCCTAGAGCTTGTTTATGGGACAGTAGCAGAGCAGCTAGGACAAACCAATCCCTGAAATCAGGACTTCTCAAGGAGACTGCACTGAGTTCTCCCTCAGGAAGTCACATGGGAAGAAAAGGGACATTATTCCTGCCTCATTAGGTCCTGAATTCCACCAAAAATAAACCAGGTATTATCTGAAAGGCCACAGGTCTAGGGTGGTGAATGAATCTTTCTGCCAGCCTCACCAATGGTCTAACACAAGCTTTTACTTCTAAGTGCCTGGCCATATCCTGAATTGTGGACCCCAAGAACTCCTGACCTGAGTATGTGCACACTGAGCATTAGTGACATGGAGGGAAAAGAGCGCCTCTCCCCTCCCCTTCCTAGCAGACTAGTATGCACTGTCTGAGCTCCAGAGGAACTCAGAGGCTACACACAGCAACGGGAGGACATGCTGTGGAGAACAATGACATGGTTTCTCTTCCACCATCCAACTACAGACAACCACTCCAAATTACTAACAAGATCTGGGGAATCTATAGGAGCATCCCCCTGTGGAAGCCTCCCAGTGGGTACTTACTGTTGAATCCTGCCCAACTTAGACCCCTTTGCATTTTGACCGTTCAGAAAGTCACCTATGCCTCTCTGTCTTCACAGATAACAAATAAAACCTTCCTGATCAGGTAAAGAAATATCTCAGAAGAGCATTGGGAATTAAATGTGCTTCTCTTTCTGAACTCTAGAGTGGATCTCCTGAGAACGGCAGTACCCATGGACCACCTGTCCCAGGCCTCCACTAACATGAAGAGGCAGAACTTGAGGTCATACATTTGGCCCATTTCTCACTGGTATTAGGCAGAGACAATTTACAAACAAATACTGAAGTATTTAATTAGAATTCCAACATAATTTCTATAAATCGGCATTCAGAATACTTTGACTACTGGAGGAGAGAAATCCAAACAATATGAGCTCTCAGGTTCTACCAGTTGCTTTTCTAAAGGTGACAGATGTTTGCACTTCATCTATAGACTCAGCAAAATCCAGTCTGATGCTCAAACACAAGATGTAACAACCAATGGGTCCTAAACCTAGAAGACATGGCAGAGGACAGGAAAGATTCCTCCAGACCCTGATCTTCTTCTTCCAGGACTTCCCACAAAGCCTCAGAGATCCATAAAGGGCTACAGGGAAGTAATGGAGACTGGGTATATGGAACAGAACAAAAGCTCAGAAACAGGCCTAACTGATTTTTTTTCACAGTCACCTATGGAAATCAAGGCAGAGAGAATGGCTTGTCCACAAATGACTGCAGAAGAAGATTTAAAAAAACAAGCAATAAGGAACCAATTGAAAAACTGAACACAGTCACCATTTCAATTGACCTCAAATACAAACACTGTAATGCTCACATAAAGTTATAGAAGAGGACTACATGATTTCCTGCCTTATAGAAAGGAGGATCAGAAATAACACGGAGAAGATGAACTGTGGACTCAGGATGCCTGCGGCCCCCAGACATGAAATACAGAGGCTGGAGCATGGCTGGAGCAGACACTCCCCCAGGACGTCTAGAGAGAGCCTGGCCCCTGACACACCCTGGCAGACAACAAATCCCTGACAGTGAATGTTGTGTGGCTGTGAGGAGGTGGAGGTGTCGTGTGTGCTGTGTGGTGTGAGGAGGGCTGAAACCTATCCCATTGTTGGGATGGAGATGAGCTCTCCAGCTGATCTGTTAACAGCACTGTGTGGATGGTCCAGTCAGCTGGGGAAAGCAGCAGGTCTGACCCCTAGATACTCACATGTGCTACCCATGCCCCTCCCCTGGTTAACAACTTACATACAGGGTCAGTGTAAGGACATGAAGGACGCCCCTCACCCACACTCACCACAGAGTTCTCTAGGTATTAGGACTAGATATTCAACTCCCCTTATGCTGTCCCACACACAGTGCTAGATTCTAGACCATGCTAGACATGCCTCCAACCACAGTGTACTAAGACATGGGGAAAGGTATCAGGCCCTGTTGGACACTTGACCTCCAGACAAGGACACACAGTTACTGTATGGCTCAAAGACTCCTGGAATCTTCCTGCACTGATGTACAACACTAGGTATAATGCAGCATGGGACACTACAGCCATGCCACCTCACTGGTACTACCAGCTGTCAGACCATGATAAACAACCTCTACATCACACACGCACACACACACACACACACACACACACACACACACACACACACACACACACACAGAGAGAGAACTTCTAATGTACTTCTAAGTACTGGACCATGTGTGACTTCTCACCAAACTACACATTGACTGCTAGCTATCAGACATTGTTAAATAAACCCTCTCGCATACCTCCCATGTATTCCTAGGTCTGGATCCAGAATGTAACCCACATAATCCTTTATTAACAGCTACTTATCAGGTCATACAGGACACTCTCTTGCCACTGTATGCAAATACTCTGCTAGTATTGGTCCCCAGTTGACACCCTAATATCACTGAAATTCCACATACACTGCTAGGGTTCAGGCCCTCCTGAATATCACACCACCACCACCACAATCTACAGTGTTAGTATCAGGGCCCAAAGGATATCACATTTCATCAACCCATATATCCCTGTTGGATTTCAGACCTGCTGGGCATTTGAAACTCTATGGCAACTCCTACAAGGCTAGCTAACGGCCCTGGAATGCACACATCGCCCTGCAGCTGCCCCACGTGCACTGCTAGGTGTCAGGCTCTGCTGGCTCCCTCAATGCCACACACACACTCTGAAGTGTCAAGCACACTCGGACATCACATCGCACACTGCCAACCTACTTCAACATGAATGATCAGACCTTGATGGACATCAGCTCAGCCATAATCTGACACATACTCCGTAGGGATTGTGCAGAGCTTGACACCCCGTTCTTCCACTGCTCCTCTCTGACATACAGTTAGCATCAAACATACTGGACACATCACCACCCCTATGACCACACATCCACTCTAGGTACCAGGTCCAGTTTGACTTCATTCCCCACATTAATCGACAGCCATCAGACCATTCTGGGAACTTCTCCCCATGTCAGGTCTTCCACAATACTTAGAAATTTGCACATCTGGACACCCTCCTTCTGCTTAAGACACACCTACACTGCTAGGCATCAGCTTCTACTGGACTCCTTCCTCTGCTATACCATGTGCTGGGTCTCAGGTTCTACTGCTGGTTACTGGGTCATGCTGGACATTAACTCCTGTCCAAACCACAGTGCATATAAAGTGCTGTGTGTCAGGTTCACTTGAACACCAGGCTCCATCACGCATGACATGCTAGGTATCCAACAATGTTGACACACACCCTTACCATCGATATACACAACTGGCCCAGTGAACACTACAATTTTAAAGGCTCTGCTAACACCTCCATCACTGACATATCAAGTTTCTTGCCATTGTTCTCTTACTAACACTCTGTGCAGATTTCAGTCATGTATATTAAAGTATGTTGTATGCATATACAATAATTGGCTTCAAGCCTTACCCAAAATAGCACCATTCTGTTGACAACATACACTACCAGACAGGGGCATGGGTCTAAGCACGGCTGAAAATTAGCAGTGCTTTTGCGGCAGCAGTATGGGTGTAGGAAGAGAAACTTATTAGATGAGGCCTGTTATCATGCACAATGTCTGGGTTAGGACTGGGGAGTCCTGAGGATATGATACACAGTAGTGCATCCAGGCCTCAGGTAGGTGTCCAGCAAAGCGTGAAACCAAGTAGTGTGTTTCAGGCTATAGTGGCAGGGGTAGGAGTGTCCAGCAGGGCAGTGGTACATGGGTAGGTTTGGAAGCAGGCCTGGGGGGCAGTAGCTAGTAAGGCCTGTTGTGTGGGCGGCCCCTGATAGTGGGATGAGTCTCTGTGGGAGAAGAGGGAGATGCTCTGCTGTGTGTCTTAGGAACACAACAGTGTATGTTGAGTGGCAGCAGTTGGGAGCTGTCTAGATCCATTAGGACATGACACCTAGCAGTCTATGTAGGATACCAGGGGAGATTCCTGCCATGCCTGTTCAATAGTAATATATGTGGAGCAGTGCTAAAGATAGAGATGTTATAGGGAAAAGTGTGTGTGTGTGTGTGTGTGTGTGTGTGTGTGTGTGTGTGTGTGTGTGTAATATGTGTGTGTGTGTGTGTGTGTGTGTGCACTTGTGCTGAACTTGTGGCAATGGTCAATGTGACAATGCTGCATTGTCATGGAGATAGCTGTCTTAGAGAAAACGAGTCAGTGACTAGGAAAATAGAAGCCCAGGGTCAGTATATTATTAGTGAAGTTGATCAGAGAAAGTGTCTTCAAGTTATAGACGAGAGATTTTGGAGAATAAGGGTAGAAAACAAGAAATGTGAGACTTGATGAATACAGGCCTGGGGGAGGAATTTGACTTTATTTTTACTGTACCAAGAAGCCAAGTTTTCTCTTTGCCAACAACACTAGGTATCATCGTCTGTAAGGTGTCCCCACACTTAAATTAAAACCACCTGCACATTGCTAGGTGTCAGGTGCTACTGTGAAAAATGTCTTCTACAGCAGGTGCCAAACACACATGCCTAGGTGTGAGGTCCTGCTAGATCAACTGTCCACTAAAAAAAAATGCTCCTCTCATACAGTTGGGAAGTCTGTCCTCCAAGAGATCAACAACACGATGGCTAAAGCCCCTGAACAGGGCTGGGTGTCTGGTCTTTCTAAGGATGCCCTCACCTACAGCCGCAGAAGCCACAAACAGCTGCCCACATAGTATAACACAAGTGTCAGGGTCTAGTGTTTATCTCTTCCCTTACAACCGCATAGACACACATGGTTAGGTCACATTCCTGATAGGAATCCCCTCAGCTACAGCAGTGCCACACACCCAGAGCTAGGTGTCACATCCTGCTGGGCACCTCTTCCCCTACATCCAAAGGACCATACAGTTACACAGCTAGTTTTCTAGTACTGGTACCCCTACCCTATAGTCAAATGCCAGGTACACAGTCACACATTCACAAACACACTCAGGCACACATGCTTGTATGATCCCATGCACGTGCTCATGCAGTCTCATCTAGCTGTCATGTCAACAAGGTCTCCCCCATTCAGACAAAGCCCTATTTACACAACCATCAAAGTGCTGCCCTTCTGGGTGTCCATCCCCTGCAGCCAAACACATACACAGAGAGACAGAGAGACAGAGAGACAGAGACAAAGACAGGGAGAGACAGAGATAGACAGAGACAGACAGAGAGACACAGAGTCCGAGGTCAGGTCCTGCTGTTCCCACTCCATAACAGACAAAGCTGTCTACTCAGGGCTAGGTGTCAGGTCCTGATACATACCTCTTTTTCTGTATTCACAGTGCAATATTCTTACACAGCTAGTTTACCAGTATGCACTGCTCCCCTATAATTCAAATGCTAAGTACACACTCACACACTCAGGAACACATTCAGGCACACATGCTCCTACAAATGCCTTCACGAATTCAATGCACTCTCAGCTAGCTATCAGGTCCTAGAAGACAACCACCATACAAGGAAAGCCCCACATACACTTCTAGGTGTTAAGTCCTGTGAGGTAGAGGTATCACCCATACAACAAACAAACACACATCTCTAGGTGTTAGGTCCTGTGAGGTGTCCCACATAGAGCCAAAGCCCTATGTACACACAGCCAACAAGGTGCTTCTGCTGCTAGGTGTCCATTACCTACAGCCAATCTCTCTCTCTCTCTCTCTCTCTCTCTCTCTCTCCACTCTCTCCCCCTCCATCCCCTCCCTCTGTCACATACACACACATGTATATATGTACATCTAAGCCCCTGTACTGTTAGGTATACACATGCCTAGAGCCAAAGACTCCCAATACATGCGATTTGACTGGTCCTTCAGGGTTATTGTCTCCATTATAGGCAAAGCCACCCCCTCATCAACACACAATACACACACACACAAACACACACACACACACACACACACACACACACACACACACACACACACACACACACACACACACACACTAGTGCAGTTACATGGCAGGATCTGTTGGATTTACAGCTTCCTTAGAGCCAAAGCATCTAAACAGGGCCAGGTGTCAGCTTCTGTTAGGTCCACCCTTCCCTACAGTCAATATTCCTCTTACACAGCTAGGTATCATGACTCCTAGAGATCCACTGCCATACAGTAAAGTCCCATGCACAGGGTCAAGCGTCAAATCCCGCTAGGAACCCCAGACATGGGCAAACATCCCAGGCACAGCTCTCATATTCATATAAGGTGTCATGCTCAGGTATTTGTCTCTAGCCTTACAACCAAAGTTCCACATACAAACATGGTTAGGTTTTAGGATCTGCTAGGTACCTTTCTCCCCACAGTAAAACAACAGGTTAACACAAACATACAAACACACCAACACAAGCATGCACACATGCACATATACAATCATGCATGCAGGCCTGTAGGAACCCTCCCCAGGTTGTGAGTCTCAGGAGTTTTTCCCCTAGCCCCATGAATGGAGCTATGGACTTAGGGGAAGGCTAGGACTTGGCACCTACCTCTGGGTGTGTGGCATTGTTGTAGAACTGGGGTCTTCCTTTCAGGACCTGACAAGTTGTCATGTATGTTTATGGCTTTGGCTGTAAGGGTGAGACTACAATGCTACCCTTGACACCTAGCCCTGTGAGGAGAGCTAGGGCTTAAAATAGAAAGAAGTCCGTCAGGACTTGACTGTGTGTGTGTGTGTGTGTGTGTGTGTGTGTGTGTGTGTGTGTGTGTGTGTGTGTGTAGGGTTGTGCATTAGTTTGGTGAAGTAATGCCTACTAGGTCTTGACACACCTACCCTACAGCCAAAGATTTTTATTCACATATATGGCTCACTATCAGTTCCTGCTGGATAAACCCTCCCTTACAGCCTAGCCAAACTGACACAAATTTCAGAACCTGCTAGAATGTCACCCTATATTGAAAAGACCCACTTATGACTAGGGTATCATGTCCTCCTCAGTATCATCTCCCCAAAAGCAAAGCTTCAAATATACTGGCCAGGTGTCACATCATGCTAGGTACCCTAATCTCTATAGCCAATGTTACAGGTACACAAAGAGATGGAGTTAGGTCATTCTGATTACCCCCTGCCTTATAATCAAAGACTCTATCTCTGTCTCTGTCTCTGTCTCTCTGTCTGTCTCTATCATACACACATGCACACAACTATGTATCTGTTCTACACATTTCCTCCCCACAGGAAAGTCCCACATACACACACGGCTAGTTTCCTAACTCCTTCTAGGTACAATCTCCCTAGGAAGATCTCAGAAGAACCTCTAAGAGGACATGATATCTAGCTGTGGAAGAGGAATATATATATATATATCCAGAGCTAGACATAAAAAGCTAGATGTCAGGTACTTTTGGTATCCGCCCCCCTCTATGTTTTACACTCACTTCAGAAGTTTGGGAGCCAGAAACAGCTGATGGAGATGACCTCTGGCATTTGTCTTTCTGGATCTGGGTTCTCTCACTCAATATCTTTTCCACATCCATCCATTTACACAGAAAAATGCCTTAAAAACAAAGAGGATTATTTGCTGAGTGTCTGCAACTAGGCCTGTGATTTTGCAGTTGCATGCAGTTTACAGGACCCATTTCTTTATTAATGCCTAAAATGGGAGATCCAGGTTCACTGAGGGTGCCTCCACCCCTGTGTGTTGTTCCTGAATTGTGTAAGAAAGTAAAGTGAAGGAGCCGTGAAGAGCAAGCCAGGAAAGAGCTGTCCTCTGAATCTGCTAGAGTTCCTAGAAAACTTCCCTAATGATGGACATTGAACAGGACATGGGGGCCTAATAAACTCTTTCAATCACATTGAGTTATGTCAGGACCTGTCTGTCAACAATACAAAGTATACTAGGACAGTATCACAGGACTGGCCTCAATTTGTAATCCTCCAGACTTCACCTACTGACTGCTGGCTTTAAGAATGTAATATAAACCTGTATGAACAAATGCAAGTTTAAGGTTGACTAGATCTTAGGGAGACAACAAATCATGGACCAGCACAACACAATTCCATGAGGTCAGGTTATTTTAATGAAGTTAATCATAGAACACATCCCAAGCAGACAGATTGGAGAAATACTGCTGAATGGGGGTAGACACAACAAATAGTGCCTCATGATATATACAGAGAGAGGGGAGGAATCAGTGTATTTTTAGTATGTTAAGCACCAATCAGAGGGTATAAACACAGGAGTGAAATCATAGACTTGAGATAGTTAATCATGGGACATATAAGCAGCAACAGTGGTTGCAGGAAGGTCAGTTTAGGAGACCGGCAGAAGTGTGGCAACATCATGTCTTGTTCTTGCTCTGGATCAAACGTTGGTGAATGTACCCACTGCACTCTGTGGAGCATGGCTCATGAGGTCAGGACACATGTTAGCACATCGTGACCAGCACACACAACCGTTGTAATACACATAACCTGGCTCATGAGATCAGAGGATGTGGGACATTCTGAATCCTGCCCCAGCACACATCTCATCTCAGTTCCTGCATTCTGGTTGGTGAGGTAAGAAGGTATACCACTCCTAGATCATCCAGCATCAGGAAGTTCTCCCACCTACAAACCAGCACTGTGTGTCTCCACCCCTGAGCTCAAGCAGAACACAGAGGAGCCTAGCACTGCCAAACTCGGAACACCAAGGATCGATCCAAACACTCCCCGACACAAAGGAAACAGAAGCACTCAAATAACAAACTAAATCCAGATAAGCAAGGCCCATGACAAAAACTGAAATAACTTGAAAAACCCAGGACAACATAACTCCTCCCAAAATGACCAATCCCAAAGCAGAAAGACTTAACCAAATTTAAGGTTTGGTAACAAGGGAAGCCCAATGGCAGATGCATGGATCTCCCTGGGAAGAGGAAATAAAGGAATATCTCCTGGGGGCAGGTGAGGATGGGAACTTGAGGGTTTGGGTTGGGAGGTGCATGAAGGGGTATTCTACTGAAAGAGGTGATTGTCATTAGGGAGCCTTTATTCAGTAACTGATGGAAATAGATGCAGAGATTCACAGCAAAACATTAGATTTCTTTTGGGTTCAAGGAATCTTGCTGAAGAGAGGGAGAAAGGATTGTAGGAGTCAGAAGGGTCAAGAATATGACAAAAAGCAGAAAAAAGTAACCTGGGTCATTGGAACTCACAGAGTCTGAACCAACAACCAGAGAGCCTGCATAGAAATGACCTATTCCCTCTACATATATGTGACAGATGTGTAGCTTGGTCCACTTGTGTGGCTCCTAACAATGGTAGTGGGGCTGTCCCTTGGGCTTTGGCTGGCTCTTGGGAACCTATTTGTGAGTCCCTGCTGTGTACCACTCTGCTTCCTGACACACACTGCTCAGTACAATACCAATTGGACAAGTCCTGACTCACAGAACGGTAGAGAACACTGCGATAAGAGGAGGTCTGTAGATGGACAAGAAAACATGGCTATTACTCTGGGAATATATTGGTGTCACTGGGCAGATAATGTTGTGGGGTATGGGATGCGAGCACTTTTGAAGATCTGGCAGATCCAGTGCTGGGTGGTGATTAGGATAACCCACATGGCAGGGACCATGTCAAGGAAGGGCTGATGCTCCATTAGTGGAAGCAAACTGCCCATGAGTAATTTCCCCGATGGATAAGGCTTGTTATTATGCATGCCTTTCCTGACCTCACCCAGCAGATTACTCCACAGTTTGCCCATTGCTGGGGCCCCAGGAAAATTAAACCACACTGAGAGCAGTGGGCTATGGAAACCACCTGGTGAGACTTAAGGAGGACAGCTCCACAGTGATGCAAACCCCAGTAAAGCAATGTGGGATGCCATGACCATTGACCTTCAGCTATGTCTTGGCCACAGCATACCTCCCTTCCCAGCTTGGTTTTAAATCATACGGCATAGCCATTCAGTGTCATCCATTAATGACCAAGATCCCATATGGAAAACAACACCCAAATGATGTTGATCCTCCATGGATTGTAAGAATGAAGTTAAAGACCAAGGCCAAAGGGCAAGTGGCATGGCACTAATGACTCTGTGGTCTGCTCCTTGCTGGTTCATTGCCCACCAGAAAGAGATAGATGGAATCCTTACCATGAGAGCTCTTTGGGAATGAAAGCTCAGTAGAGTGGGGAGATTGGATGAAGGTAAAGGTTCCATAGCAGCCCACGCCAGGAGCAGCTGAGTGGGTAAGAGGCCTTGGGACTTTATTTCCCACACTAACACACCTTATACCTTATACCAGGCAAGTGTTCCCCAATCACAAAGGAGTGACTTTGGATCTGTCTTCACCCTCAGGCACCCTGTCTTTCTGCAGCCATCACTGAGCCACTCCTGGACACCTCTCTGGTACCCTGACTCAAATGTAGACACAACTGAAGATTCTGATTCCACCTTGTATTGGTGACTTCCCAGGGATCACATGGTTCTCTGGGGAAGACAAAGGGTGAACACTACCCACTTGCAGTTCGCGTGAGACTGTTGGCCCCTCTTTCATCTAAACACTCCCCTTCAAATCAAGATTGGGACTGAACTTCAGAATCTCAGAGCTCAGTGAATACTGGCTTGAAAATCATCTGCAGCCCTGGTTTTCCCTGGTTTCCACCTATCCAGTTCTTAAATTCTCAGAAGACTTTTGGTGATGGGGTGAACATTACCTTTGCATTTAGATTTTACAGTACTGGCAGGTAAACCAGGGGCCTAGGGTTACATATTCTCACTGCCCTGGTCATCATCCCTTATGCCAAGATCTGAAAACAAAGTAACCCTGACTTGGGCCTGACTTGCCTGATACAGGCCCTCCATCTGCTAGGAAAGTCATTGAACTTTCTGATAAGTTTTTGTACCCCGAAGGCAAACTGAATCAGACACAATTGGAAAAGCCCAGGTTTGATGGGTAAAGTGTTCCTGGATGAATCCCCGCCCCTCATAGAAGAGACAGGGATGGGAGACTGGAAGAACCACATGTCTGTTTTCTGGGATGCAGCTCTAGGGGAGGAGCTGTGTTTGGTGGGCTTTGAAGGGGCAGGTTTGGGGAAAGAGATGGGGAGGAGAATTAAGATGGATCTTCCACCAGACTCCTTCCAAACATTCCAGACTCTTTGGGTATAGGGATGCCAGGGTGCCAGGGGCTGAGGTGGAGCTTCCACCCTAATATTCCAGACTCTTTGGGTATAGGGGCACCGGTTCAAGTCTGACTACTTCCTTCAGGCATGGGGTGACATGAGGAAGAGGAGTTGGGAGTTGCTGGGCTCACATGCAGCAGGAGGTATGAGGGGAGGAGCCTCCAGTCAATTGTCATCCTGGAGACCTCAGCCATCTGTTTCTTGAAGCAGCAATGAAGGCAAGTTTCTATGAAAAAAATAGATCATTAACAAGTTCTAGTTTTACTGTAAAGATGAATGTACAGAGCAGAAGAGAAGACAGACCCTTTATTGGGACATCTTGAAAACTGGAGGGTTGCTGGGGATGTCTTTCTGTATGTTGTGAATGTGTGTTGCTCTGATTTGGTTGATAAATTAAATACTGATTGACAGTAGCCAGGCAGGAAGTATAGTGTAGGTGGGATAAGCAGGGAGGAGAATTCTGGGAACAGGAAGGTTGAGTCAGGAGTCACCAGGCAGACACAGAGGAAGCAAGATGTGAAGGTAGAACTGAGAAAAGGTACCAAACCACGTGGCTGAACATAAATAAGA